AGAATATAGAATAGAATAGAATATAGAATAGAATATAGAATAGAATAAAATAGAATAGAATATAGAATAGAATAGAATAGAATAGAGAATAGAGAATAGAGAATAGAATAGAGAATAGAATAGAGAATAGAATAGAGAATAGAGAATATAGAATAGAATAGAATAGAATTCTTTATTGGCCAAGTGTGATTGGACACACAGGAATTTGTCTTGGTGTAAATACTCTCAATACTTTCAATATTAAGCTTCTTTCTTCCTTTTTTCTCTCCTTCCTTCCTTCCCTTCCCTATGTTTTCTTCATTCTTTCTTTCCTCTTTCCCTGCTCCTTTCCCCCCTTCTTCTCTTCTAAGTTTAGGTTGGATTTGTTTGTATGACGGTCATTGAACTTCTGCATCTGAAAAAAAAAATCCATATTTAAGAAGAAAAAAAAAAGGGGGAAGACCATTTTAGTCAAGTCAACGTTTAATAAAAGTTTCGCCGTTTAAGATTCATCAAAGGCGTCCAATCGCAACCTTAACAGTTAAGAATGTCCCCGGCCGGTAAAAAGTTCAACCGTCTCAGAACGAACGAAAAGGCAACAGTGCAAAATCCCAAGCAAAAACCTCTTTACCGCCATTGCTTTGGTACCAAATTTTTGAGGAAAGGGGCTCCAGAAAGGAAGAGATGGGGGAAAGCATCCCTTAACCTGGCTGTTCCAGCTGGGGATAATGGGCCTTGCAACCCGACAGGTGGAAGTGAACTGAACTGAGCAAGAGGAATGGAGGGCTGGGTATTGCAAGAGTGGAAGAGACCCCTTGGGTTTCGGAGTCGCGAAGAGCAATTCTTCTATTTGAATTTTGCTAACTGAGGTTTTGTTGGAATCGTGAGGTCTTTGGGGGAAGTTGGCCAATTTGGAGGCCAGGGCTTTTCTGCCAGGCTGAATAAGCTGCCTTGGTGATTGGGTGCCGGGTACCCATCACGGAGCAGGAAAAAAAAGAAAAAAATCTATTGATTTGGGGAACCCCTTTCCCCTTCGCTGGACCAGAAGCAGGTATGGAACGCCTTCAGAAACTGTTGGGGCTTCCTTTCCTGGGCCCAGGTGGATTGGATGACCACTGGAGGGCTGTCTCTTCCCTTCTCTGTTCTTTTTTTGTTGTTGTTGTTAATTTTGATTTTTAAAATCTTTTCAGAATAGGAAAAGGAAAAAAAAACAGCACACCCACCCCCCACCCCATTTGGCTCTCCTCAATGCTCCAAGATTACAACTCCCATCCTCCCCAGAGGAGAGGCAAGCACCGAGGGAGGTTTTACCCAGCTGACCTCTAAAAAAAAACAAAAAACCCACATTTATGGAAGGACTAAAGAAGTTGAGTGAGAGGGGGAAGAGGTGGCTAAACAGATGGGGAGCCCCCCCACCCCCTCCCTCAACTATCATCTTCTCAGATCATGAGTGAGTTGGCTAGGGATGATGGGAGTTAGAGTCCGTAGTTCAGGAGGGCTCCGCCACCAGGATCAAGCCCCCTAAAGTTGAACAAGGTAGCAAAGAAGAACCAGAAAATCTCTCTTGAAGAACTTACCAACCATTAAAGCATCCAACTAGAAGCACCTTGATGGGCTTCCATGCATCTGTCAGCTCACCGGACTTCTAATTTCCCACAATGCCCCAAGGCGCTTGTCTGTGGCATGATGGGAAATTTAATACAGCAGTCCAGGAACCAGAGAGAGAGGAAAAAACATTTCTTGGATGAGCTGCACCTAGAAGTAACTTTGCAAGCAGTTGAGATGGCCTTCCATCCAACTGTGAGCTCAGCGGACTTTTAATTTCCCACAATGCCCCAAGGCACTCCCCTATGGCCTGAATTTAATTTAAATTTTTAAATTAATTTAAATTTAATACAGCAGTCCAGGAACTAGAGAGAGGGGGGGGGATTTTTCTTGGAGAACTTACCAACCACCAAGCATCCAACTAGAAGCAATTTGGATGGCCTTCCATCCAACTGTGACTTCCTCATCGGACTTCTAGTTTCCCACAATGCCCCAAGGTGCTTCTCTGTGGCATGATGGGAAACTTAACACTCAGCAGTCGAGGAA